TCCCTTCAGAAAATCTGCTCTTGAAGCATATTAGTCCAAGGGATTATTTCCCTGTTTCTACTTCTGTTTTGGTGTATTAGCGGTAGTGATTTCGCAGTGCCCATTATGTTTGTAAGTATAGGAGTGCAATTTTAGAACAACCGGACTAACATCCATCTGTCTTACTTATTTCCTGGAACTATATTCAGATTCTCATTCCTGTCTTACCAAAGGGCCATTTTCACTGTTTTTCTGCAATGTTTTGGACTGATCAGATTAGTTCACCAGAAGCCTTAAATGGAAACCTAGCTCCTACTCATCGTTCTGATTACACCTTTCCCACCGTTTCCCTTTGTCTCCGCTTCCCCCGGGGTTCCCTTCCTTCCCCAGCCCCGAGTTGTTCAGCCATCCACTCACCCTGGGACATATCTAGTCTGGGTAGATGAAAACTATAATCTGATCGTTCCATGACTGGTTCAGAACTCACTGGGTATAAAGCACAAAGAAAGACACCCATCTGTGCTCATTCTTCACTGAGGACTTGCTTTCCTGGCATATTCCCCCAGTCGCCAGATTCAGTTGATTGCCATCGCAAATGGGACTCTCACCTTCAGAGTAATCAAGTTAGCCAGCAAAGCCTTCTCTTGCTTCTTCCACTATTTTTGGAATTGAAAGCAATCCAGCTGTCGCTAAGGATAAAAATGAAAACAAACATAAAAATAAACCACACTTACATTGCAAAGAATGGGGGGAAATTTAAAAATTGGCCATTTTTTAATATTAGAAATTTCAAACAGATGGCGAGCTAATTTATATTTTCTTTTTGACATTTACTTAGCCAGTGAGAGTACGATTAAGCCATATTTTAAACCCCCTCAAAGGGCCTTCATCTGAAAATGTTATAGACCCATCTATAGTTAATGTTCTGCACCATCAACAGAGCTTAAGGACCCAGAAACAGTAGTTCTTTCATGCCCAGGCCACCCTAATCAGGGGGCAGAAGGTTTAGGAACCTCCTGTGTGAAAATAATGGCCTCCTATCCTCCCTGCCTCCCATCTTGCCCCACTTGGGGCCATTTTCCCGTGTTAGCAAATGGATCTTTCCTTAATGCAAATTTGACCATGCCAGCCCCCTGCTTGAAATGAACCTTTCAATGACTCCATATGGCCCTCAGAATTAAGGTAAAACTCTCGTATTATCATGTTACTAAAGTCCTCTTCAATCTGACCCTGCTCACTCTTCTCTTCCTCAGTCCTGGTCTCTCTTCCCCCTTCCGCATTCTGTACCCAAGTCCTACTAAGCTACGTGTCATCCCAAGATGTGCCTCTCCCTGTCTACTTTGCCTTAGAAAACCCCACTGCCCCTTCTTCACCTGGCTCGTGTCTCCCTTTTCATTTTGACTTATAGTTTAGTTACAACCCACTGAAACCATTTTATCATGCTAAGATATGGCCAAAGATAATTTTACCTGAAACATTTATAATGTTATGGCTTCCCGGATTATTCTCAAGTTTGCCCAGGATTTTCCATCTTACTGCACTTCCGTCTTACACATTTTCCTTATGTTGTTCAGTGAAAACACACATTAAAACCCTGTAACAATACACCTTCAAAAACACAGCCCCAAAAGAGACATCTTGCCTAAATCACTGAAAGCAATCTAATCACAAGTGAATGATTCTTTTCCACACATGATGGAATTTTCCAGTAATGTGCCTTACTGACTTACTTATTGGCCCCATCCACGTGTGCTCTTGTCATGCCCTGTCACACACAGTCCACCCCTGAAATAGCAATCCTCTCAACTTGATGTGTTCTATTTCCATTTTGTTACTCCATAGTTGAATGAATTATAACATCTGAATTGCCTGTTGTACAAAACTGAGTTGTAACATCAATTTTAAAAGAGGATGGTAGCAGGGGAATCTGGGTGGCTCAGTTGGTCAAGTGTCTGACTCTTGATTTCAGCTCAGGCCATGATATCCAGAGTTGTAAGATCAAGTCCTGTTTCAGGCTCTGCTTTGGAGCCTGCTTAGGATTCTCTCTGAAGAATCCCTCTCTCTCAGCAAACCCCCCCCCGCCCCCGCAAAAAAAAGAGGAGGTAGCAGAGGATATGCAGATATTGTGAGATTCACCTGAGATTTCACAGCGTTTGTGGCAAAGACAAAAATAGAAGTTCTAACTGCAGGCTTTTTCAGTTGAGAGGTCCTCCTGGCTTGGAAATAATAGAAGAAAGAGAAATAGTCCTTTGTACTGGAAGCTAATAGCCTTGAAGAAGGATGAGTTCCAGAGAAGTGGGCCCCAGACCAAGATGGTCAGCAGCCCTTCCGAAGTTCAGTCTGGAGTTGGCGGGCACTTTGCTCCCATTAGACTTGCTATGGGACATCTTTGGGTTCACTCCACCTTTTCATTTCCCCCTTCAGTAGAGTGTCACTTGCCTAAAATAGCTTTTAAGTGACTTGCTTAATGGATGTTTTCCATAGAACACTGCTCCCTTCCTTTCAGACTTCAATTTAATTTTAGTAAATGGATTGAATTTTCTTTTTTCTTTTAATGAGAGCTCCTGTCATAACATCACCCATCACGTTATCCTTCCATATTGGTGGACCTATTATTCATGTCACCAATTTGTTGACCTCATTAGTTAACTGCTATTCACTCTTTTATATATACAAATAAACTTAAGTCTTTCTTACAGCTTTCTTAATCAGGGGATTTTTTATACAAAGATATTGGAAACCTCTTATATCTAATCACTTCAACACATTTTGCCAACTAACTCACTAGTAAAGAGAAAATAATACATTGATGGTTGTGCCTTTTAAAATAAAGTTTAGATTATGTTTAGAAAACTTGGGCAAAACCAAATGTCTTTTTTTTTAAATTGTTTCCGTGTCATAGAACAAAATGGTACCTGCTTGATATAACTAATTAGACAATTCATTTAGGCCTGGGCAGCTGGGAGCAGGGCTCTGGAAGCAGGCAAGACCCTGCCACTTCAGAGCTGGGTTACTCTCAGCAAGTCACATAAGCAGTGGGGCTTCTGTGTCTTTCCTTGTCAAATATAGTTGTTGAAAGCAGGAAATGAGATGACACCTAACATAGCAACTGATTAATCTTCTCTAGCCCTCCCTCCCTTACCTTTTCAACAAGAATTTCAGGTAGAGTTAATGAAAACCAGAAGAGAAGGCCACAAACATCATCCTTGGTCTCCAACTCCTCAAAAAAACAAACAAACAAAAACACAAACCCAAAACAACAAGAAAACAACAACAACGATAACAACAACAAAAGAACCTAATTGGAACAACAACCCTAACCTAACTGGAACCAAATACTTAACCTCATGATTTTTAAAAATATGTGATTATATGGACACATATGTGTGTTGCTAATATATGTAAATGATGAGACTTTGTTTGACCGTGACATGCTGCTGATTTTAGAGAAAATTATGGAGCAACTGTTAATCTGGAATTGTGCCATATTCTTCAATGCTGATTACCAAATTTAGAATTGAATAGAATTCTGATCATAATCACAAGAAACTCAAATACACAAGATACTACTTTCTTGGATACTTTGTTATTTAGTTCCACTGACAGCAGATTAGTCAGGAAAGCCTTAGGAAGATACTTCCTGCTGAGAGTCAGAGTTGGGAATGCCTTGGATAGTTTTACAAACACAATAACCTGACAGAAATTCACTTTAGTCAAAGACTCCTATAGCACAATCATTTTAATTGTGAGCTACCTTGAAGTAGCTATGGTGAAGCTACCTTGTTTACTGTACAACCTCTTTTTTGACATCAGACAGACATGAATGTCAGAAGGTTAGAAAGGTCCAAGACTTAATTCTTACCATGGGCCTTGAAGTAATTTGGATGAATTCCATAGATGAAAGATGGGTAGCTCTTTAACTAAAACCGTAGAGTCACAGAATTGGAAGAGGCCTTAGTGATCTCTAGTCTAGTCACACATTTGAAGCTTGAATTTGCTCCAGTATATCCCAGTCACGTGAGAATCAGCCTTTCAGAGTATCCTCTGGATAGCTCTGGCTATTAAAAAGTTATTCCTTATCTTCAACTCCATAGCTTTTGCCCTTGGCTCCAAATTCTGTTAAGAGACATAAAAAAAAAAAAGGCTCTGCTCAAACTCATGAGGCTGCAGACTTCTTGAGAGCAAGTATTGTATCCAAGTCATTTGACTTGACAAATGATTGCTGAATGGAATTAAAAGCAAAAGATGTTCTTTATTTTGATATAGATCTTTTTTTTTAAGATTTTATTTATTTATTTATTTATTTATTTGACAGAGATCACAAGTAGGCAGAGAGGCAGGCAGAGAAGGAGGAGGAAGCAGACTCCCTGCTGAGCAGAGAGCCCAATATGGGGCTTAATCCCGGGACCCTGGGATCATGACTTGAGCCGAAGGCAGAGGCTTTAACCCACTGAGCCACCCAGGCACCCCTATTTTGATATATATCTTACAAAATAGCAAATGATCAGTATATTTAAGTTCTACTGAGAAAGCCTTGTATAAAGTAACTGATTTTATTATTTAAATATCATGGCTGATATGTTCAATTCTTTCAGTCTTATAATTCAAGCAATTTTATCATATATATTGCAATTTACCTTCATTGTAAAATAACATACTTGCCCCTACAGATATTAGCTATTACACATCACACTTGCCAACAAGCTGAAACCCCACTAAAGTAGCCATCAGAAGTTCTGGGTTCCAGCCCCAGCCCCCCACTACCCATCTGAGTGGTCCTGGCTCTTGTTTCCTATTCTGCAAACTGCAAGGATTGAACCGGATGTCCTCTTAAAGTTCTTTCCTGCTTCACAAATCATTCGCATTTTTGACTTGTCTGTCCCATGTGGCAGAGTATCCACAAAGACAGTCAAAGACAAGGCTTCTGATTTCTGGTTCAATTCTCTAGTTACATTGCCAATAACTCTCCATATGTACAGTTTAAAGCTAGGGATGCATTCCCCCCTCTTTTCTCGTTTCAGAACACTTTTCTTCAGGAAACAGTGAGGAGGGAGTGCGAAGAACGCTTTGAACTGACAGAGGCTTTGAGTCAAGCCAGAGAACAGCTCCTGGAGTTCAGGAAACTCAGTGGAAGTTCACCTCTATCACCGTGTTCCCTTAGCCCGGGCAGCCTAACCTCCTCTGCTGTAGTGGTCAGTAATCAGGGAGAGAGGAGCCTTACAAGACCGAACTTTGGAAAAGGAATCAAAATCCCCAGCCTGCACAGAGTGTCAAAACCTGCCGCTTCCCCAACCTCGCCTCAGTCCAAGAGGCTCAGCGGCTCAGGTTTGCCCACTATCCCCCAACCCCATCCTCCTCCCAGGGGTCGAGCATCTTCAGTAAATGAGACCAGACAAAGGCTGGCCACCATTCTGCGGAGGAGACTGAGTCAGCAGGGATCGGTCCAGTCAGGAGCAGCTCCCCCCAGCACACCTGGTCTTCCCCAGTGGGCCAGAGATGCACGGTGACTGAGGATGACAAAGGTCAAATTATTATCGCAGATCAAGAATGTGTGTTTATAGATGTTTTTAATAAGATAATTGGGAAAACTAGGAATTGTGAAGCCACATTTTCTAAGAGACCTTTGAAGTTGCCATAGATAATGATGTTGTTGATATTCCAAAAGGCCAGTGTCCATATTTCTATATTGCATCTTTAGGTGTGGTATATGAATATACCCTTTTAGATAGCATAGGTGAAAATTTTCACTCATGGCATCTTTGCTATATATATATATTTTTTTTGCACCATTACAAGCAGATATATTTCCACAAAAAATTAGATTGTATTGGTTTTGTCAGTGTTTGTTCCTTTGTTGAGCTGAATGGGTGAAATAGATGTAATTCATATTTCCAAATAGAAAACAGAAGTACTTTAGTCCTACATTTGATAATTTCCAAAGTGTTTAGTTCAAATATTCACAGAATTCATCATCATCATAGAAACCTCTTTTTTACCTCACAGTCTAATTGGTTAATTCAGTTTCTTTTTAGGCCAGAAGTAATGATAGGTAAGGTATCCTTCAAGAAGGCAGTCTTCCCTGTGAACTTGGGACCTTCTAGGAAAAGGGACAGCAACTCCAATTCAAGAAAGATTTTCTACATTTTCTACATTTTTAGTAATCACAATCAGATTTTTATTTGATGCTCATATCCTTCAACCATTGGGAAAAGAACTAATTCAAGACTGTTCTATAGAGATACATAGTGCTAATTTGGGGTTCACATTTTATTACTCCCCAAGATGGGTGACTAGTTAACATATTTTCTGTTTTCAGAGTGAAAAATTAAAACGAGCAACCAAATCAGCTATTTTAAGTTAAAAAGCTTCAGGCCCCTCCTGTTTCTTAAAACACAACTCTTTACCTTAAGCTAATGTTTGTCTGTCTTTTCCCCCCTTGAAACTGAAATGTATTTTTCTTTCAGGACTGACTTTACTTAAATCCTTCATCTGATTCTATCAGGGACATCCAGGCTTCTTACTCCTGGATAAGGATATAATAACATGAAATATGGCACGTAAAACTCTCCTCTGTTTGGCTATCATCTTGATGAGAGAATCCAAAGGCACTTGGAATCCTTCACATCTGGAAAAAAAAAAGTAAAGCTACTAAGTAAATTCAGATTTATGTCTAATCTTTCAAAGGATTAGTCTAATCTACCAGTACAGTGTTTTAACCTCAAAAAAAAAAAAAAAAAAAATTCCCTATCAGGTCTGCTGATTTCCCTGACTAGTTTAAGTGAGTACATCTTGTATTAAGACTTAGAATGCTGAGTGTTGCTTTACAGAGACCAGAATTCCTTATAATGGCATTTGAAAAGAGAATAAAACATCATAGAATAGTGACCCCCAACCATCTCTTTCCAAATAAGGAATAGAACCATCTCTTTCCAAATAAGGAATAGATGCCCAAAGAGGTCTGACTTGGCTAAAGCAGCATTGCTAATTAGTGACAGAGCTAAAACCAGACCACTATTAACTGACCCCAACTTTCCCCCTCGCTTTTCCACTCATCAGATTCCCCAGCCTCCATCACGACAGAAGCCCTACATAGTATTTACCTAATATTTTCTTTAAATGCACTCACTTTTTAAGCTTAAAGTTATGTAAAAAGAAAACTTGACCCAAGAAAGAATAACTGTAGAGTAACGAGTTTGATTTGCTAGGTATATTTCTTCTAACACTTTAAAATACTAAATGTTAATTGGTGTACCCCCTAAAATCATCTCATATAATAACAGTAGTACTCATGCCACACTCTGGGAACCTCGATGTTTCTGGTATTTGCAGGTTTATTGCAAGTACCAGTGACATAAGGTAGACGGCAAAACTAGTGAAAACTTTATTAAGCCTACAAGAATATTTGGGGCAGCCGTCTTTGTCATCAGATGATACACGTTTTTCCAATTTTTGCAGTTTCAGCTCCCTTCAGGAGCCATGGGGATATATTTTTCCCAAAATGTGAACAGATTTAAATTTGTAAAGAAAGTCACACGTAAGCGTTTCTAAAGCGATGTAAAGTGCAAAACCTGGTTTCTTGGTTTGCTGTTACACTCTTGCATTATAATGAGTAATTATGTCAATAATCTTTCTGAGGATAGAATCAGGATGTGCAGTAAGGCTGTGTTATAGTCCACAAGTATATTAGAAAGGTAAGTTCATGGATAAACAGAGGGACAATATTTACATTTGTTTCAAACTAGACCACTTGCATGGTGCCATCTAAGTTATGTGCTGGTATCTTTTAAAGAAAGACAAAGGAAAGAGAATCACATTACTGTATGTAAAGAGGGTGTTAAGGACACAGACTCCTAGATTTTCTCACTGATAAGCTAACTCTTGCCATGAAACAGTATCAGGAATGTCAAGAAAGTAGTGAACATTATAGTGAATTAAAGCTCTCAAATGAGTGTAATGCATATTAATTTAAGTCTATTAGTTTTCATTTCTCTCTATATATATATGTTTTCCATGACCTCAATGGAAGGATTGATAGGTACGAAAAGAAAAGAATGTCACAGAAAACATTCCTTACAGAATTATATCGTATTTGTTTTTTCTTCTTAAACTAGTATTGGTAGACAAAGATGGGAGAATTCTTCTATAGTTAACATAGATTTCTCAAGTAATTTATGAAAGTTTTATTGAATTAAATTACCATATTTATACTTAGAATTACTTAAAAGTTATATTTCCTGGCAATGAAACTGACTAAAAGAGGCATTAATGTTGAAAATTATGTAAAACTAAAATTTTTTTGATGTTCTGTTAGTCTGAAAACATTTTTATAATATTACAGATCAATTATAGCTAATTTCTTTGATTATGAAACAAATTTTCTCAAGCTTCATCTTGTAATGTTCTTACAATTATTATAATATTGCATTGATAGAGCAACCTAAGTAACCCAAAAGGGTTAATGCACTGGAGCTGAAAATTCCTGACCATCATATTGTATTTAATGGAGCACAAAAAAGCAATTTAATATGTACCCAAGTTCACAAATCCTACAATAAGTATAGCTTTTTTTTTTTACTTTTTCACTTTTATATTTTAAGAAAATAACGTATGTCCACCGTACCTTGCACAAGACAACTTTGATGGCTCCCCAAGACATGATAGACAATAATGGCACCATTCCTAAGGTGGTGTCTATGGTATATTCAGGAAGAAATTCTATTTTTCCATTTGAAAATATTAACCCTATATAGCGATAAATTGTGAAGCCCATATAATTACGTTGCATCTTTAGAATCTTAAATATAAATTATGTCATCTTGGTTTATTCTTAATTCACACATAAAACTTTCTTGACAACACAGTACTTGAATCTGAAACACACAAATCCAATGACAATATTTACCATGATCCAGAAAGTCAAAAAATTTCCTTCTTCTCCAGCATTCATATAGCATAGTGCTTTATATCCATTAAATGAGTAAAAATATTTACTAGACCTCTTTTACCCCACCCCCAAATATATAAGAGAATACTGTGTCATAGAGATTAAGTAATTTATCCAAAAGAAATACTAAGACTAAGGAATAATTTTAAAACATGTACAGTTTCTGAGCATCTTGGTCTATAGAATAACAGTGAAGCTATATTATACATTCACTCATTTCTTCAACAGATATAGAGAATTGAAAAAGCACTCTGAGAGGTACAATAATGAAGACAGACTACAGATTCCCAAGAGTTGTATAGTAGAGAGGGGAGGAAGCATATACAAAAACTGTAACCCTGGGCAGTAGATGTTGAGAAGAGAGTCAAAAGCAAGGTGTTATGTGAATTCAACTTCTTGCTGGAAGAATCAAGGAATATTTTTGGCAAGAATTGGTATTTATCATAGGTCTTAAAGAATTGATAGGATTTTATAGAAGAAGTTATACCACATAGAGGAGATGTATAAAGAGGTGCAGATATGAGAAGTGTAGAAAATACTTGGTGAAGGGAAGTAGTAGGAACCTGACCCCATAGCATGAAGGTGTTAAATAAAGGCCTTTGCAGCATTTTGTCTAGAAGAAACATGCACTTCATTGAAATCTGGCAGGGCTTTATAGGAATAATTATGGAGTGGCAAGATTGGAGATGGAACACAAGTTGGTAGATTAGTATGGTAGTTGAGACAAGAGTTACATAAAGTTCTGAATAAAGATGTTGATATTGGAAATAAACAAGAAGGAGCTGACTCCAATTCTATTCAGAGAAGAGAAAGAATTTGTTCCCTGTTAAATATATTTTGAAACTATTACTAGTGATTGCCTCTTAGCAGGGGGTGCAGTGTATGAGATTGGCTCCAATTAAAATATCACCCTCTGCTTAAGAATATTACAACTTCTTGGGGTGCCTGGGTGGCTCAATGGGTTAAAACCTCTGCCTTTGGTTCAGGCCCTGATCTCAGGGTCCTGAGATCGAGCCCCGCATCGGGCTCTCTGCTCAGGAGGGAGCCTGCCTCCCTCTCTCTCTCTCTGCCTGCCTCTGCCTACTTATGATCTCTGTCTGTCAAATAAATAAATAAAATCTTAAAAAAATAATAATATTACAACTTCTCTGAAAAATGTAAAATCATAGCAACTACATTTTCATTTGAGCAACCGGTAACTCATTCCACAGACTCCATATTCATAAGAATCTTCCTTAAAGTTAAAAGAAAATTCAAATCTGAATAGTGTTCAAAGAATTACGGAGGAAGAATGTGGAAATTGACATTTAAAAAAATAGCTATCATCTTGGCCTCAAAGAATGCAAAGCACAACTCAGTGGTGGCCTTTGGGAGTAATATAGTGCAATAAAACCTTTTCTGATTTTTGTTAACTGTTTATGAGGAAAAATACAGGACATAGCAGCCAAAATAAAAATAAGTGTTATCTTAAAATCCCTAAATGTTATCATTCTGAAATGACCTGACACATCTTCTGGACCAGACCTGTAATTTTACAGAAGGAGAAAATCGGTACCTTTATAA